ATGTAGCCTACTTGGTTCAGTTGGTCTTGATCGGGAGCCTTGTGGGCCATATATATCAGACACGCTCTCCAGTGCTTGAAATCGTTCCGTTAAAAATACATTTAATTCTTCCCAGGAAGGCTTTTCGGTTTTTTTTGCAATTGATTGTTCCCATAGGGACAGAGTCAGTTTTGGTAACTTCGAAGAACATTGAAATACGAAAATTGGATCCCATGATCTATGTGTTGGTTAATTTGCCTGGCTTCTCCACTAGTTTTTTGGAACAGGTGATATAATTTTTCTACCGGGCTAAGCTTTTTATTATTTACATAAATTGCAGTAAATAAATCTCGGAAACTAGGCCAATTTAAATAGTCGCCATGAAATACTTCAGTATCGCATGGTGGGACCGAAATAGATGAACTCATTTTTTGAGATATTCTTGAAGATGCAGTTTTTATATTTTCTTTGGCGCTTCCTATAAGCGTAAGGCATTTCATATAACTTTTATGAACTTCAATCTTCTTTCCTTTGACTGTAGTCTTTTCTATTTTTTGAAAATCGGGGTCAGAAATGCATTTTTTATAACATATTTTCCATTCCTCCCACAAGTTTTCTAGTTCTTGCTTTTCTGCATCTAGGGACATATCATTATATTCTTTCAAATCAGCATCTTTAAGCTGAGTTTCAAAAGATATTATTTCTTCACATTGAACTAAAAATTCCTCCATTATTCCCATAATGTTTCGACTCAGTTCAGCAAATTAAATATTTTTGTAATAAAAAAAATATGAATTATTTCTCTTTGCCGACAATATGGATCGTTTTTTCCAACGAATTAGTAATATGGTAAATTGTAGAAAGTGTAGCTTTTTCCTCAATTAAATTTCCAAAATTGGGGCAAACTATCTTCAAATTCAAATTCGTTGTGAATTTATTTTATATCTTTATGGAAATATAGTTTCAAATATGCGAAATAATTTTACTTTGGGACCGTGATAATATTCCCCCTTCGAGACAGAATTATCATCAATATTTGGAAAATTGATTCTTTAATTTATTTTTGGGAGAAATGTGTTTGGTCTAATTTCCAAGAATTGGTTTCAAGTTTTATTCGAAATATATATAATTAACAACCAGCCTTTAAATTGTGTTCGATAAAATTTTATTATTCGCTGGGACAGTTATTTTTTATTCACAAGTAAATTTATTTTCATAATAACCAGGGACAGAAACAAAATTGTGTTTGCTCATATACAAAGGGCCACAATATTCAAATGTCTACAAATGTTCCCCACCTTTGTGTGCATACGTATAAGAGATGATGAGAGCGAAAGTAATAATTTCAAATTGTATGTTCCTCTATATTTTCATAGTTATCTTTCTATGCTTCCGTTATTCTGGTTGTTTTGTTTTTATTAACCCAACTTTTGTTTCAGGAACAGTGTCTCGGTTTCAACAAATGTGCTGTTTGTTAGCACAATAATTCGAAAATCATAAACGATCACTTATAAATCGGGACCATTTTATCTTATTATTTTCATACATTTATATAATGTTCCATAAATAATTTATTTTTATTGTCTTCTTCCTCTTGTAGAAAAATTTCTTTTTAATAGCAATCAAAATTTTCCAATAATTGTTCTCGAACCACTGTGTTGCGTTCTATGTTGTTCTTTTCCTCTTCTTTTACAACTCTTCTCAACGATCGCAACAACAATAACGAGCAGCCACTCTCAATGTTTGCGTAGACAATCAGCATGCGTGTTGTTGTTGTAATGCACACAAGTGGCCATGACCTATCTCAACAACAATTTGAAAGGTAACGGGTTTCTAATTTTTTTTGCTAATCTGTTTTTCTATTTTACAGAAATTTTGCAACCTCGCATTTGACGACGGAGGGATAGGTTTGGGAGAGGATTGGTATAGGATGTTATTTATTGTTGTTGTTAATTAGGGCCAGAAATTTAAGGAAGCACATCTCCATATAAAAATTGTGTAGGTACGTACCTTTGCCTTGAATGATATTGGCCTGACTGTGGAATATAGTTTTCGAAGGACCTTATGTTATGTTGCAATACAAAACTTTACTCCGGCCGTCGAAATATCCTATTCCAAGGCAGATGATTCGTCCAGAAGGCTAGGTTGTTGGTAGCAGCCAAGGCGCTGTTGATTTGTCGCGAAAAAGTACGGGTTGTTGTTCGCCTAGGTCGAGACACTACAAAAGGCACTTATTTGTTTGTATTCGCCTATGTTGAGGCACTAATAAATTCACTGTTAATATATTCGCCTATGTCGAGGCACTAGTAAAACACTTATTTTTTCAATAATAAATTTTAATTTATTTCAATAAATCGATTTGGTTTCTTTGACAATTTCGTTTTGGTTTTGGTTGTTCTTACAATATTTTTTTTCTTTTACGTCTGCACTCACTCAACTTTAAATTCAACTGTGTTGAGGCAGAACAAAAATAAAGGGAGCCAAAGAAGAAAAAAAAAAAAAAAAATGATCAAAACAAAGGGTTGACAGCTTTCGTCAGAGATGGCACGCCTGTTTATGTACAGTGATGGCACTAGAACAATGGTGATACATATTAATTACAAGATGTACATAAACACCATCTATAAAATGCAGGATCACGCATTGCTGTAGCAGAGTCACCCATAACACCAAATGACTCGAGATGACGATGATCCGGATCGTGAGCATATGAGATAAGAACATGACCCATATTGTGTAGATCACCATAGAGATTACGATTTGGTGATATGGTCGATGATTCAATCATGTTTCCAAGGATGTTAATGCCATCCTGTTCGTTAAGACGTTGTTGATTGCCACTTTCCTGGAAGATGAGGGTATTTAGTAAGGATTTTAATAAATTTTCCAAATTAGAAGGTCTTAAATAGTTCTTCGTACTTAGAATAAACTCACAATCGTGTTGGAAAATAAGGCAGGGACCTTGAAAAATTGAAAGACCCCAGAACGCTAAATTACAGCCCCATATTTTAAAATCATAAAGTAGGGCAGTGGGGGACAGTAGGGCAAAACACTGACTAATTAAAAAATTAAGGGTATTTTTAATCTTGGACATGCCACCCCTTCGCTTATAGGATGTGTAAACTTCGTAGAAAATTATAGCTTGTGGAGTATATTTCAAAAAAGGATCTATATCGAATATTTTTGGTCAGAAGGTTTTTTTTCATCTGAGCGAGGATAATTCCAAATAAATTGTCTCAACATATCTAAATATTTTATGGTGGTCCTTCATTAATTCTTTAAAATTTCGAGGGCCAAATAAAAAATCTTCAAAAACTGTCGCAATACTCACATCCACAGCAAAGCCCTTATGAATTGCCTCCATAATTTGATTACGCCATCTTTCCAAATCGTTGATATCAACATTTATTTGATCACTTTCACGATTTAAATCACTGAGTTTTATGTTATTAAAACGTGGTGGCCATGAACGACTTGCCACCAACGAATCCATTTTCGGAAAATAACCTTCCGAAATTGGTTCACGAAAATTATTAAATCTTGCCACCCGAGGCAAGTTGTTACTAAACCGTTCCATATTATAACGGGCCATAATTTGTTCGTGCATATAATAGAATAGCTCACCGCGACGATCTTTATCAACAATACTACGATCACCAGCCTCGAAGGGATATACCAAATGCCAATGCCAGTGATGTAGATTGATACCCATATCTTCACGGAAATACCATAGACGATGTTCAGGATCCAAATCCGAGGCAGTATAATCGCGAGGAACAATAATAGGCATACGTGATCCTTCAGGCACTACACTTGCCTCCTCACGCGCCTGGCGAAACACCTTCGAATCGACATATTTCTCGGGGAATGATTGTGCAAAGGAGGGTAAATCCAAACCCTTAGTATCGGGACGATGCAACAATGCCACTGACAAGGCATAATTAAACAAAAATGGATTAACCCTATCACGAGCATACACCGCAACACTTTGTAAGTCCTCAATACTCCGCAGGCCGACAAAAATGTCAATTAATCTCCCAGCAATACGGCGATGACGTGGTATAAACAAAGAAAATTGTTCATCGCGCGCCAAGGACATGGGTATACGTAAATCCGGCAATGTAATATCACGTACGGGCACCCGTTGTTCTGCTCTTTCGCCAAAACGACTTTGTACTTCGTTACCAATTGGTCGATAACGATCGGTTAGAAATTTATCCGGAACATCGAAAACCGTGGGCGTTTTTCCCTTTTCCATAAACACCGGTTCAGTGGGTTTATCGAATAAAAGTAAAAGATTTTTCTTGTCAGCCCGAGACATTTTTCCGTTCGTTCTTTTACTTTTTGTGATGTCGTCGTGAACGATGGGTTCCCGTAATTGCACTTTTGTAACCAGCAAATGCATTTTACATGGCTATTTATACTAAATGCAGAAGTTACATTTCTCATACGAAATGTTATCGTAATTGTGCGGTTTTTGGTTTTACAAAGGTACATGCACTTTTGTAAAACGATAAATTTCCCAAGTTCGCATTGCATTCGCAATTGTGATAAATATTTGTATATAACATAAAAAATGTTAAGCGTCAATGTATTTCTTAGGACTTAGGAAATATATTCATAAGGTATAAATGCACAGCAAAGATTATGTTCGTTCTGGTCGAACTTACCGACAATTTGGCTGCAAACTTGAAACTGGAACTTGTAAACAACTGAAACGATGGGAAATGTTATATGGAAGCTACATAAAAACATGGACCTATATTGAAAATTTATACCTGCAGTTGTTTTATCTTTCGAGATCCTGAAATATCACTTCTGTTGTAAATTGCGGGTAGTTTCCCCAAAATATATGAACTATGGTGGAATCATATATGGAGGCTACAAAATCATTGTTTGCGAAAATAAAAATAATTGTCATTCTATTTGAAACACCTCACATTGGACGAAACAATATCCTAATCTGAACCGACTTCAACAAAACTTTACAGACATCACCCTGTCTCAATCGGATAAACATCGGATCTTTGGTATACCATAGGCATAAAATAGGATGAAACTATATATGGGAGCTATATCTAAATCTGAACCAATTTCAACAAAACTTCACATGCACCAAACTGTACTTAATTCAGTACACTGCACTATGGGTAAAAAGTATGATTTTTTGGCATAAAGTCAATTTTTTTTGTTTTCATATTTTGAAATGTAACTGATTTCCCAAATGTAGATACCCATATTAGAAAAAACATTTAATATCAATGCGGGTGGTAACCCTTTTTTGCTGGCGAGCTTTAAAAGTCAGCAGTTTGAAAGTCACATTGTTTTGGTACAACTGGTGGTAAAAATCAGCTAAGTTCGAGTGCTTGTAATTTGACAAAATTGAAAAAAAATACTTTGTTTACTTTATTCTCAAAAATACATGTACGGGCGGACATGCATAAATCAGAAAGTAATTCTATGCATATTCTCAAAAGAAACCATGGGTCTATCTCGATTCATTTTTTTGCAAACATATGCACAATGATGCACAGAGTGGTGAAGGTTATAAAAATATCAATATTTATCTATGTTTCGGGGTAACCTTCAAAAAACGGTTTACCCCAATTCTCGGTATTTTGGAATTTTTGGTAATGAGGGCTCTCACTGGATAGTAAATCTACCCTCTACAAATTACCAATATTGGTTTACTTTTTAGGGTAGGTAATCCTACATCCCTAAATTCAGTATTTTGGTGACATTGGCACGTATTTCAACCAAATTGACTATAATTGGCTTCCTACCAAAAAGTACCTATATTTTCTCAATTTTCCGCGTAGAACCCATATAATTGAATCCCCCATTACTGGGTTCATTTCATGGGTGTGTCAAATTTCCCCACCAAAAAGTATTTGTATTTGTTTTCGTTTTGGTGTAGCTCCCATATACCGAACTATTTTTTTGGGATTTTGAAGACTTCTATATAGGTAATTTTTTATCTGACCATAGAAAACATAGTCCACACATAAAAGTCCCGACCAATTGAAGGAATTTCGAAGGCACACCACGTGGTGGAGGGTATAAAAGTTCAGTCCGGCCAAACATAACTACTATTTTACGTTATTTTGTATATTAAGGAAATTATCCGAACGTAGAAGAATAAAAATCATTATTGGACCTCCCAGATCAAAAACGTGGGTTTTTCAAAATCGAAATGGGGAAAATATATTCTTTACCTAATATTCCATCGTTGCTACGTATCAGAAATTTTAAATGTTTATAGTAAAATCCGGACGATAATTTATATATTTCTATATATAATAGTATAGACGAGCGGGGACCGAACATACGTACACAACTACCACTGAAGTCTAAATTGCTGCGGATCTTTATTCCGAGTCTGGACAATATTTTTCGATATTTGAACTCTCTTGGCCGATTAGAGATTATCAACTCATCTTTCTTACCCTGAACTTTAATAGAACTTTTAAAGATTTCACTGAACTTTTAAAGATTCAAATTTCTTATTTTACAAACAGATGTATTGGCTCCTTAGGGTTCAATTATGGACCGATCAATATCAAAACAAACATTCTCAATAGTGGACCAGATCCCCTCCCCCGTGTAAAATTTGTGATATTCCGTTAAAAAAAATATATATATATATTATCCCCTATACTTTATTCCATTGCGATCAGCGGTATATTTCTGCCCATTAGTGTGGTAATGGGATTCTAAATAATATCCGAATTCGTAGAAGCCCAAAATATTTAAGTATAAATAGCACATCCGAGTAGATACATAACTGTAGATACATAATTGTTCTTCTCGGGTGTATGTTCTTTAGAAGTAACTATATACGCCATAGTCTGGACTCATTTGTCTAAAGGACCCATAATGCGTGGATTTTTGAAATAAAACTTTTTTGAAGAACCCATAAGACGTTGTTTTTTTGAAAAAAAAATGTTTTGAAGGACCCATAAGGCATGGATATTTGAAATAAAAGATGTTTTAAGGACCCATAAGGCGTGGACTTTTGAAAGAAAAATTTTTGAAGGACCCATAAGGCGTGGGTTTTTGAAATAAAACTTTTTTGAAGGACCCATAAGGCGTGGATTTTTGAAATAAATTTTTTTAAGAACCCATAAAGCTTTGTTTTTTGAATTAAAATGTTTTGAAGGATCCATAAGACCTGGATTTTTGAAAGAAAATATTTTTGAAGGACCCATAAGGCATGGATATTTGAAATAAAAAATTTTAAGGACCCATAAGGCGTGGATTTTTGAAAGAAAACTTTTTTGAAGGACCCATAAGGATAGGACCCATGGATATTTGAAATAAACAATTTTTGAAGGACCCATAAGGATAGGACCCATGGATATTTGAAATAAACAATTTTGGAAGGACCCATAAGGCGTGGATTTTTGAAAGAAAACTTTTTTGAAGGACCCATAAGGATAGGACCCATGGATATTTGAAATAAAAATTTTTTGAAGGACCCATAAGGCGTGGATTTTTGAAAGAAAACTTTTTTGATGGACCCATAAGGCATGGCGATTTGAAATAAAATTGTTTTTAAGGACCCATGGCATGGAGATTTGAAATAAACATTTTTTCAAGCACCCATAAGGCGTGGATTTAATTTTTTTTTTTTTTTTAAGAACTCAGAAGGAGTGGATTTTTTATTGAGCGATTGTCATGAAAAGAGTCGTGCTTTTTCTTTGGTCTGATTCCTTTCTTTGTGTAAAATTTCGTTATGTTCGGGGCATAATTGTAGCTTTTATAGCGACCAGAAAAACAGGCAAAAATTAAGTATTTGGTTAATTTCATCTCCTAAACATAAAGCGATAATTACAAAAAAGGACATCTTTGACCAGAATCGCCCGACATGCACAATTTCGTGGCTATTGACGTGTAGCGTGTTTACTCAGCTCAGCTAGTCGAGATATGACGATCAGTACAACAAAAGCTGCGTCTAGGACCAATATTTCTCAGCGTTGCATACAATAAAGCTATAATACCCTCACAACATAGATGTGTTGGGTATAAAAATGCTGTCTACTGACAAAGTCTAACTATTTGTAGTTCGATTGAAACTTTGTTAATTTTCCCAGCGGGCCATTTTTGTGTTCTGAGAAAACAAATTGGAAGCCCAATAGATTTGAACATTTCGACCTGCAAATATTCCCTGCTTCAGGTCCTTCCTCCTTCAAGGTAGTCTATGAAAATTATTGTATACGCAATGCGTATTACGCATCCAAAATATTACAAACGATGAAAACAGAACTATTTAAATTATGATGTTTGTTTTTTTTCTTTCTTTAATTGTTCATCAATTGCTTTTATGTTAATTAAATTACAATAACATGCCGCTACTTATAACATACATTGATATATGATAAATATATTTTTGTATTTATTTCTTATGTATATATAGAATGTACTCTCTGTTATTTTCTTAAATATAATATCATTTAATAGTTTATAATGTTTGTTTTTGCTTTTAATTTCCATTTGCTATATTTCATAAGTTTATTTAATTAATCATTTGTTCTTTGGTTTTTGTTGCTGGTTATTTTGTTTGTTTATTTGTTGGTTGTTGAGTGTAGTTTTTCATTGGACTCATGGCAATTTGTTGTACTTAATAATAATTATACATATATGTATATATTTACTTTTGCTATTTAGCTTATATTTATAAGTTTTAATAATTTCTTGTCCAAATAAATTTCTCATAAATCTTGTGTGTATAGTTGTTGTGTTTTATTTTTTGTCATTATTGTTTTTTTTTCTTTGGTATTTTATTTCATAATTAAAGTAGTTTTGTTTTGCATGTTGTTGTTGTTGAAACAATTTCCCTAAATAGTATTTTCATTTAGTTTGATATCGGTAAGTAGTTTGTAAGTATTTTGCAAATACTTAAATTATACAATGAAATCATTTATTTTCTATAAAATGTGCAGAGTATGAAAAAAGTACATTAGTATTATAAAGTTCGCCAACCAAACATTGATTATCATTTGTATATTTTTAGCGTTTTTTTTTTTGATAGAGTGTAAAATGAAATATTAATAAATATTGTATATTCAAAAACACATTTCGATATCTTTACCTCCGATTTCAGGAATTTCAGGAATCTTCTAATCACTTCCTTAGATATAGTGAAGATAGCAAATTAGATTTTAACGTAATCAAAACAGCAAAACTTTATATGGGAGAGACTAGAAGAAGTGGACCGGAAGGGCAAATCTTCAGATCTGATCTAGAATTTATAAAAACAGTATTATGTTCGATATTGCATCCAAATTAGTTAATTAAAAGTAATAATTTTAAAAATTAGAC